TATTAAAAGCGTTTAAAATTTTCAAACGTTTTTCGTCGCCATTGTTCCGTGTCCTGGTTGATGCCACGAACCGAAACTACAAAATGAAATAAAAAAAATCCCCCATCCTGCGATATCCGCAATCCCTTTGTCGGGTGATGGAAGAAACAGGGAGACGCTTGTTGCACCGCTGTGGGGCAGCAACACTAACAAGCTTTGTTATGTTCCGTTCGTCGCTGTTGCTTTTGAGTTTGAGTTTGAGTTTGAGTTTGCTCAACGTTTTGCCAACTGTGCGAGAAAGTCGCCCGCAGCGTCGGAAGCGGAAACGGAAGTGTTGCCATTGCCATTTTGCTGGCATCGCCATTGCATTTTCGGAACGCTCCGCTCGCTGTTTGTGTTTGTGTTTGGTGACGGCGATATTGTTTTTGTCACTGCTTTTCGATAATACTCCTTTCTGGCTTTCCGTTTGTAAAATGTTACCATGGTACGGTGATGTCCGCTTTTTCCTCCTCAACTTTCATCGGATTCCGGTTGGTAGGAAAGCTGGGAGGGACCAGGCCAAAGAACCGGTGCACAAAAGTTTCTGACAGGTGGTTTGTGTGTTACGTGTTCGCTGTTTACTTTGTGTAATCATTTCATTTGTCAGACTTGATTTGCCAACGAATATAGCGTTGACAGCTTGACGTTGCAAATTGAGATTTTGACGAAAAGAGTTTTCACGTTGCAGTAGAAATGTGAGTGTGATTGGTCTGCGAATGCAGCTGAAAAATATGGTGAATGCCTTAAAATATTGCTAATTGATTTTATTATTTTCAAGTAACGTTTGGCAATTTCCAATATTTCTTAATTTAAAAATTGTATTTATCTTCATCATCAACAAACCATTTCAGTTTTGCAAATAATTATGAGTTTACTAGTAAATTATTTTCCATTTCACTTACAAAATTACCTTTCTTACCTGCTAATTAAACTTTGGGTGAAAAGTTCCTTTGTCTGAAGGATTTCCTTAGCCCACTCCTTAAGTTGCACAATCAAAAAGTTAAAGGCCAAAGTTAAATTAATGGTGAGATGAAATAGAATTTGCACCGACAAATCAAATTACTGTCTGCCTGCTGTCTGAAGATATTTAATCCGGCTGAGCTGAAGTCTAAAACGCTTCAAATTAACACACAGAGAATTAACTTCAACGTCGGAGGGGGTTGTAGGGTATGGGGATATAAAATTGAAAGTAAAGCAAACAAAAGTTTGCGCAAGTCAGAAGTCAAAAGGCTGGGGCCAAAACTATGTATGTACGAAAAACGCGTGTAAACAGCAGGAGCAACAACAACTTTTGCCACGCATCCGGATCCGGATTGAGGGCATGGGTTTGGGTACGGATTTTGACTTGGGGCTGATTTCAACGTAAAGTGCTGGCAAGCTGGCTCGTCATCGGCATTGGGCCACCTCATCATCATCACGATGACGCTCAATTTCAATCGCTGTTGGTGTTGATTGCAGCCGTTGTTGCTGCTGTTGATTACACGACGTTTAAGTGATTAAAGGTAAAAACGTTTGCCGCCCAGTGAACACCGTCCACCCACTAATCCACGAACATTTTTGGCAACTTGACTCCGTAGTGCTGAACATTTTCTCATTTACCCGTTGCAGAAGGAAACTAAGGTAAAGGTTTTCCATTGCCATGGCAGAGAAACACTGGCTGCCACGCCCACGCCACCGCTACAGCCCACAGACGGAGGTTAATGTCCGGCAGTTGGCCATCTCAGCGATAATAGCCACTGCCGCGGTTACCATGTTGATGACAGCCACTCCCACACTCGCCGAAATCCCCTCAAAGGGTAAGTGCTTTGATAATTTAATGAGCCACTCTTAATGGGGCTTCTTAGTTTGATTGATTGATTGACTGATGGACTGGCAGAGTTCAACGAAAGAATTGTGGCAAGAGAGGAACTCATTTTTCTAAAATATATATAGTCAAATGCTACATTAATTGGGCATTAAATTATTCTCAATTTATAGGGTTTCAATATAAGCTTATTAAAATTATGAGCTCATAGCAGAAAGATTGATGTAATTTCCAATAATAATTATACTGCTAGGACCAGCTATCAAACTGATGTTATTCAGTCGATGCGATGCTGTTTAGATAAGTATGAAAGGAGGAATTTGCTTTCAAGATTATCGATTGAATTTTTAAATATTTAAAAGCCTTTCTCTATCTCACTTTTTAACTTAATCTACGCCACAGTTACAGCCAACACGTGCTCACATATTCCTTTTTTCTTTTATTGAAACTTAATGGACCTTGATATTTCGAATTGACAGAAAAGTGTTTGTTTTCCGTTTGCCATTAAAAGCAATTTCGTTGGAGAAAATAATTTCAGTTTATGTTGGCTGCTGCAGCCGAGTCTGGCTTTCTAAGCCTATCCGAAAGGTTGTTCGCATCAAAATGGCTAAAGACAAAATTGTGCATATTTGAAAAATTTATGAAAACAATTTTCCATTTTCCTCTGGGCCACTCGGAAGGGGCGTGTTTTATTTGCATATTTGTTAAATTTATCTTTGGAAAAGCAAACGAACAGACAGACGTTCATACCCGTACATATACATATATGACTTAGTACGCTCAAGGATATTTTGTGACATAATCAAATATGCTTTAAGCCAAAGCCAACAACTCAACCCTTTTGAAGTCGCTGCCAACAAAATGAATGAACTGCAGATAAAGGATGTTGGCCCCTGCCCTGTTATGGTTGTTCAGTTATTTCCACTTATACATATATTTTACATCAAAATTTTCCACACACTTCTTCCACCTCCTAGAGTGGAGAATTTTCTTATTTCCATCTTATTCCTTCTATTTTATGAGCAAGGAAATGCAAATGCTTACAAGACGTTTAACATGTCACCTGCGGGCAGAAGACGCTCCGCAAAATGCTCTCCACACTTATCTGACAGTTGTGCATCTCTGGGAGCCGCTTCCTCCTTGCGCTACCCTCGCCAGCCATTCGGCATATGTATAAAATACACATTTGTTTGCCTTACCATGTTTGTCACTTATCGTTTGGTCCAATGTTTTGCAGCTGAGTGCCATTTTTCCGGCCACCATCTTCCCGATTTCCACTTCAACTCCGGCCGAGATAACTATGTTTGCGTGTATGCGAAGATATATTATGATTTTATGCATGGCTTGGCCAAGAATTACTATTTTTCCAATGGTGAAAATATGAAAAAATGGCATTGCTGCTGGCATTTTATTTGTGCAGCCATGTAAGCAAGTGTCCAAAAATAAATGAAATAACTACGTTATGTTTCAATGCTTTCTTAAAGTAATAAATTATTAAACAAATTTAAAAGATTAAGCTTCCCAATGATTTTTGAACCCAATCAATGGTGAAAAGAATTGCATTTATAGCACCTGACTGAAATTTTAATGCTGTTCTTTGTTTTAATATCGTTATGACAAGACTTTTGCATTTACCCGGTATTTTCCACGAACATTAATTTTTTTCGCCAGAAATCAGATTCCCATTTTTTTCTCTGCTCCCTGGTGATTTTCGTTCCCGAAGTACTAAAGCATATTTTATGACACACTATTTTCCTGTTATTTCCGTTTGTCGCCTCGTATTATTTTCAGCATTTTATGGCACTGCTTCCGTCATCCGTTTTTTATGCTCTTTTTTTTGGCTATTTCATCGGTATTTAAGGCGTTATTTCTTATTTCATTCGTTTTTTTTTGTGAGCCTGCTAAATGTCCTTGACTGGCTTGTTAAAAGTGGCTGCATATAAGGCCGCCATCAGGACGAAGGGTTCCTTCGCCGGTTCGTTGGCAGGAATTCTTATTATTATGAGCTCGCGTGTGCATCGCCTGCATTTTTGCCTATTACCCACTTCCTCAGACTTCTGGCCCACAACTTATTAAAATTGTTCGATGCCGCAGCGGAAAATGCTGGAAAATGGTGGAAACGGAGTGGAGCTGGGTGTCGGACATAGTGGTGGACCGACCCTTGGTCTGGCCAATGCAATTTATGTTTCAAGTTTGAAATTCCCAAAATAGTTTCGCGTGCTGAAAATTGTTAACTCAACTAATCAGCATAAAAATGCGGCCCAAAAGACCGCAGAATGGTTTCTGTTGGAATGTGTGGCGAAAAGTGAAAGTGTTCTGAGTAGGACCTTTCTAATAGTTTTTCTTTAAAGCATTGAGCGTGACGCCACGAAAGTGTTTAAGTGAAGTGCAAAAATGACGTGTAAACCATATGCCTACCAAAATTCCGGACATGCCGATTTCATCTATCCCGTTGAAATTATCGAACATAACAGCCATTCACCATAAATAATAAAAAAACTTTTTCATAAATAGGACATCAAAGATATATTTTCCTTTAATTTCAATTTAATTTCCATACTCTTTAAAAATGTAGCCATAAAAAACTCATTTACGTGACTAACGAGCGTCGGCGGGAAAAAAATGTGGTGCTTATATAAAAACGCCCACATGCACACACATTTTCGGCCCCCAATCAGCCAATAAATAAAGCAATATATAAACGATAACCATATTCAAAGAGCGGCAAGCAACAAGAAATGGTTTCCCAGTTCCAAACAACAATAATTCAAAATCACCACCCTAACCCCGCATCTGAATTTTCCTTCTCTACAAGGAAATAAAGCTAATTTATAAAAACAAACGACATCAATAGCAGTTCCAAATTTCCAAAGTAACGAAAAGAACAAAAAATCGAAGAACAAAAAACCTTTAACGACTGCTGCTGAATGCTGCCAATGAATCGAGATTGTTTAATTTTCTGACGTTCTCAAGGAAGCCATGTGGAGGGTATAAAATATTACGTTTTGTAAACTTGGGGGATAATTTTATTTAAAGAGCAGTTGCCTTAACAAAATATTCAATAAGTTTCTATGTAAATTTCAAATTTTTCTTATCAAAGGGATAAAAACTATTGCCGAAACTTTGAGATACTTTCAAGCTTGCAAGTTTGAAATATTTAATTAAGAACAAGGCAATAAAACGATATTTATAACAGCCTTTATTAGTTTTTAAAGGATAGAAATGCTAATATCTACTCTTGGTGTGCTCCGATCGTTTTATTTTTTGTCCTAAGAGACCCACACGGAACGAAATGTGCTAGACTTAATATATCGTCGTTGAAAGGGAAAAAACGTTATTTAAAAATGAGCTAGCACTTGAATTTTTTGCGCCAAGTGTTAGTGATGAGCTCTGGTTTTTTACCCGACATTCCAGTGGGAACGGCTATTGATCGATGGGGCAAGGATTCCAACAGCTGAGAGCAACACTTGGAGTAGCTCCTGGCCTCCTTTCGGGCAGCCGCCCGGCAGCAACATCCCCCCGAGGCGGCCTTCTTTATCGGCTTGTTCTTGCTGGTGGCCTTGGGTCGAACTATCGTACCCAGTCCCATTTGGCGCACAAGGAACTCCTGCGCAGCCTGCATCTGCTTATTCTGCTGGTCCTCATCCCACTCTTTTTCCTCGGCCATGATCTTGAGGATCTTGGGTAACATGTGCAGCGTGGCAGCCGCATCAACGAAAGCGATGCGAAGACGCCTTGCGATAATGTCCACCAGTGTACAGGCGTATTCGTTCCGTGCCGCATACTGCACTTCCGCCTCGATATAAGGGAAGTTTGGATGGAGTCGCTTCTTCATGTCGGCTGGAGACTGTTTAAACAAGGCATGCCCATTGTAGCCATAGGAGTCGGATATATGTTGTGCTACGTCCATGGGCACTTCGTAGTCCTGCACAAACTCCAGCGGCAGCATGCAGCACCAGAAATCGGCTCCATCTAGTTTCAGATCCTGTGTCCAACTGGAGGTAACATGATCGTCACACAATCCACATGATTGGATTGCCAGGTCGATGGCATCGGCAGCCATTACGCGATAACTACTCCAGCGTCCACCGGCCAGCGTAATCAGACCGTCTGCACTGACCTCGATCATATAGCTGCTGATCGGGGAGCCCCGATTGTCCTCCTCTTCCTCCGACTTGTCGGTGGGACAGCTTACACTGGGCTTTATGCCCGTCCAGGCGCTTAGAACATGACAGCGTCCCAATTCCACACAGGGTGCCAATCTTCTCTTCGCTGCTTCCAGAAGGCAGTCAACATCATCCGGCTCTGGAGTAGGACTTCCACGGCCGGACACTTCGTCCAGTTCGACCTCGCGAACGCCCAGAACCATGTGGTTTTCGAAAGGCACCATAAAAATCGTTAGATCATCGTTCTTCAGCGATGGGCTCAAAAGACCGTAGTGTCCGGAACCAAAGTACCGGGGCAGGGAGACTTGGGTTCCCACAGTTGGCATCAGAATCGGCGCAGTGTCTTCTTTGTCCATCTTCCTAATGCTATCAGTGCTAGAGCCCGTGGCGTTAATCACCGCTTTAGACTGGATGTAGAACTGCTCGCCGGAGATTTTATCTTTAACGCCCACCACTCGACAACAGCCTTCCTGATGTATGAGCTCCACCACCTCGGTGTGGTTGACCACATTGGCTCCAAGGGCGACGGCGGTCATAACTAAAGCGAGACACATGCGGGCGTCGTCCACCTGGCCATCGTAGTAGACGACTCCGCCACGAAGGCCTTCTGTTTTTAGGAGCGGAAATTCGTACAGGGTGGCTTCTCTCGAGAGGAAGTGCGATCCACGTACATTTGAAGCGGCAGATATCCAGTCGTACACCTAGTAATAGAGTTTAACTACGAACTAACATCAACGCAATTACTACATACCTTTAATCCCAGCCAGGTCAAGGGCATTTGGAGGGCACTGTAGACGGGCATAATCATCGGCTGAATGCGATTCAAATGCGGAGCGTTCTTCAGCATGGTCACTCGCTCGCTCATCATCTGCAGCATGATGTACAGCTGCTCTATGTCTTTCTGCCGGAGGGCGGTACCTAGGTATGAACCGCTGCCATCAATTAATTTACTGGATCGTGAACTGGAGCCACTGGCAAAATCTTCTGCCTCGATTAAGGCAGTCTTAAGACCACGACAGGCCGAGTCCACGGCGCAGCCGCATCCTACGGCTCCACCTCCGATGACCAGTACGTCAAACTCTTCTCCCTTCAGTGCATTTAAATGCTCTTCGCGAGAGGGAACCACCTTTATTTCGCAGCAGTGTTTTTCACGAATTTTGACACTGTTCCGGTGCTGGCCGAACCAAAGAGCTTGGCTCAGTAGGTGGCATTTTTGGCTGGAACGAACTGACCTTTGAGCCAGGATCGCATACAACTTGGACATCATTTTTGAGGGTCCTTTAAATTGTAGGCAACACTACAAAATTTTGAATTTTGATGGGTCGCGTCTTTATCCAAACGCTTCCCCAGTTCAACAAGACTTTCCAAAAGATAAAAGAAATAAACTGTTTTTAAATTTTTGGCGGCATTCTCCAATGGCAGACAAAGCAAACCTACTTTGTCCAGACATTTTGAGTGAGATTAACCTTTGTTTGTTGGAAGAATGTGTTGAGGTTTTAAATTGGAATTTGTAAAACCAAAAACACTAAAATACACATTTCTTAGCCTTTAAAGACCTTTTTATAATTGTAGGCATATTTTCTTCCTTCAGGTAAATTACATTTTTAAGTCTATTTTTGAGCTAATCATAATAACCGTAAAATCTGTTCAACCCTTAAACGAGTTTAAAATTCAATAAAAAATTGAATACAGTGTAATTGAGCGACATTTACCCACGCCAAAAGCCAATTAAAATTAATGAAAATTATAGATATGCGGCATGTCGCCTCGCCAGTCTCCACACCTGGGCAAAAGGTGTCGGGCTGTCACAGTTTCTGACAATTTAAACTCGAGACTGGCAGACGGGGCAGACAGAAGGGTGGGTGTAAATTACTATGCTTAGCACATTAAGGTTGGAAAATTTAATTACATCCGATGGCGAAATGATGGTAAATGGGGAAAAACTCGCCCGTATTCGATGGACAATCGCAGAGGCGTTGGCCAGTGCTTACCTGGGGCAGGAATAAAACCACCGCCCATCAGAATATTAATACTTGTCCTAGGATCCCAAGGGTTTGGGTGTTCTAACAGTGTCAACGTAGCTGCTGAGCAGTGACAGGCCGGCGCCTAATGAGTTTGTTTAAGTAATTTCAATTCATTTGTTAATTTTCAACTATTGTCTCTCTATTGACTTTATTAATGTGCCCGGGGCCTGCCCATCAGACTGTCATTCCGTCACTCAGAGACCAAGTGTTGGCCATCGTGTTCGCTTGTCTGTTTACCCAACTGTCTGTCCCGTGTCCTGTGGGATTGCGGTGCTTTTGACTTTTGCGTGCCGACGACCGACATTGTCCTTTTGTCATTGGCCCGGTCATTAATACTGTGCTTAGGCATAGATAAATATTCAATTGCTGATTGCGCACATTATTGATAAGGAAACGACGTTCATTAGCTTTCTGAAGGCATTGAAGATACTTGTTCGTGATTTGATCTTTTCATAAACAAGTAAATGGTGTAGACGTTTCCGGATTATATTGAGATACTTTTTATAAAAGAAGAACTCAACATTTTGTCATTCAAATATTTATTGTAATAAATCTATAGCACAGCAAAAGATAATTTTTAAATTAAAGCATAATGTTGGACCCCAAAAAGTTCTCTAGATAATCTTCAGCTGTCTATCAAAAACTTAAGATAAATCTTTCGTATCTTGTTAAAAAGTTAAACTTTGTTGACCATATTAGGGACTTATCCTTCCCCTCGTTAGGGCCACGTTAAAAAGAGCAACAAGAATAGCGCCAGCGGCCTTCTAAACACAAATTTCCGGTGTAAGCCACATAACAAACCTGACCTAATACCCCACCTTACGGATGTCCTCCACCCGCAAAAGTTGCCTGCTGAAACCAGGCGACCGCCACGCCCCGGCACTTTGTTACATTTCGTTACCTCGCCAAAGTGCCTCAACACATTCGGCGGGATACGGCGTGGCCTTGTTGCTTCCTGCCCACCAGTTCCACCCACCTGAAACACCCAGCACCCCTCTGCGCTGGCTGCAACTGGCTTTGTTTTGTGGCTCGCTGTTGCTGGCGTGTGGCTCACCTTTTTTTTTTTTTGGCCCTCGCACCCACCTCCAGTTGGTCTCCGGGCATTATTGCAGCTATAAAGTCAGTGCCTTGAACTTTTCCTCTGGCTTTTTTTTGTCTTCTTTTTTCGACCGTTGTTCTTCTAGTCCGGCTGGTATTTTTTTCAAGTTAATTTTTTTGTTCAAGCTCTCTTTTTGTCGCCTTATTGCCATTGAAGTTTGTTTTTTATGGCCTGGCCGAGCTTGACAATAAGCACGGCGGCGGCAAAACTTTTCCACTTCTCATTTATTATTACGTTTGCCCGTTGTTGTTATTCCTGTTGTTGTTGTTGTCCTGACAACTGAGCGACACAAATTGTCGTTTGTCCATGTTGCCTTCCTTCACCAGAAACAAACGCCAGTAGAGAGTCGAGGGAAAAAAAGTGGAAAATACAACAAACAGCTGGTGGAGAAAATGCAAACAAGCTTACAAAATTCATCTAGATTTTTTTCAAAAAGCATCTGGCAAAAAGGAAAGTCAGAGCAAAATGCTAAAATTAAAAATAATTCAAAATAAACGATTTGTTGCGCTTCGGCTGGCAATCAGCGAGGTGTTAAGTGGCCCAAATTGTCTGCCAAGGAAGAACTTTCATCTCCCAGCCTAAACATTTTGCACAGCTGTGATTTTGTTTTTGGTGGCTTTATTGGCAAAATTTTTAGATTTATTTGCACAAACGAAAAGAGCTTTGTTGCTTCGATCTCAGGTGCGGTGGACTGCTAGGAAATTTAATTGTGTTAAATGACAATTAGGCTTAGGAATTAATATAGATACTTATACTTACTAACGTATTTTGCATATTGTGCAATACACATACCTATAAAATTGATTATTCCTTTAATGATCAAAAATTACAGCGATGGCTTTACTGACTTCGGAATGCTTCACCGAAAGGCATTCTCAATAGTCAACAATTGAGCCAAATTTAGCCGTAGTATTAATGTGTATTGTCGCGTAATTGAGTTGTACACGCACATTAAGGGCAGAAGAGAACGGAAGTGGGGCAAGGACCTACCAAGTCTGAACAAAGGGTCAGGAAATGCTCAGCCAGGCCAGCCGTGGTCTTTGGCAGATCCACGAGCGGTTGGGCAGAGTATAAAGGCGCTAATTTGTAGCAATTAGTTTGGCACTCGGCCATGCCAACATGGCAATGGGAAATGGAGAATGGCCAGTGGTAAATGGCAAATGGGCTTGGCCAAAGGACAGACGATAAACATGCACACAGGACGCAGGATACAGGACACCGGATTCAGGGACTCAGGACAGAACTCGGCATACGGCACGGTCTGACGACTTTCCAAAGGACAATTGATAACAATTGAACAAACGTCACGCGGGCAGCCACGCGTTTAAAGCGAGTTAAAGTGCCACATTTTTAACGGCCTGACATCAATTAAATTTATACCTTATTCTGCCACCCAGCAAAACACGCACTGTCTGCCACATGAAAATTTTATATTTTTATAGCTGACTCTGTATTGAGTAAGCAAAAGAGAGCGTATACGTAATTTGTTTAATCTGGCATACTTAATTGCAAAACCCATTTAAATATCCTTTTGTTCGAATTGTATTGGTTTCTTGTTTTAAATTAAAGCAACAGCCTCTCCATGTATTTGCGGGGAAAGTTATGGTTTTTATGAATTACAGTCAAAGTGTTGGAGTAAATCGATTATTTTATAAAGTAAAAGAAAATAAAGTGATGGTGGGGATAGTGACGTTTCAACTACAAGTAAAATTGTATTTATTTGTTGTAAAAATTCTTTGATCATTAATTATAAACTTAGTTCTTCAGAAACTTTGGGATATCTAGAAACTATGGTATCCCTGAGTCGCTTTTGTCCCCATTTCATTTTCCCTCACTATCCTTTAACTTGCCCCCATATCTTGACAATTGTTGTACTCCTTGTTGTAGGCAACACTATTTGTGTCATGCAACAATGTAATTGCCACTGTCGTTGTCATTTCCGCTGGACACACGTTTCAACGACAGAAAAAAGGCCAGGCTAGAAAAAAAGGAAAAACATTAAAGATATTGCAAGGAAGGGGCCAACGGAAGGAGGCGGGAGAGTGGGGCAACGCCCTCAACAGGGAGTGAGAATGTTGGGCGTGGTCGCCGTGTGGCGGAAGGAAGTGAGTTGTAGGTCGGCCATTGTGCAGTTTTGCGGTGAGCAAGTAGGATTGTGTCGCCCTTTGGCCTTTTCGAAGGGGCAAAGGGGGCTAAATGTCCTGGCCAATTGTCAGAGGCGCGGGTCATGTTAAGTTGAAAATAATAGACGTGGACATGGCTGTCATTCTGTCAGTCCGAGACGATGTGCCCGGACACTAATCGATGTGGACAAATTGCAAAGGTATCAGGCTGATCCACCCAACGTAGCCCAATCGACGGCACATCTTACCTTTGCACGCCGGGAAATTAATGGCTCAATGAGGCAGGGCATTAGCTGCCGGCTTGTTTGCCCCAGGAGGTATTTTTAATTGCTGCCCCGGATGGTCATTCTGCGGTCGCTCCATTTATTTGTGTTTTCCGCAAGCAGCAGGTTCAACTCCTGCGGTTGACCTTACCCTTCTCCACCGATTATCCACACCGATATCCATCCCTCCGGATTACCTTTTACTTTTTAGTTATGCTACAGCAAACTTGCGGTTGCCCAGAGCATCGCACTTGCACCCTGGTGCACCCACTCGCTTAAATGGTATCCCTATTCCCATCTCCATGCATGTTAAATGGCCCTGGAGTGCGGTTTATTCAAATGCTTTGGAAGTGAATGAAATCAAGCGACCGTTTTGTGGATGGGGTAATAGTTTAGTTGCAGTTTGTTATTATCTCAGTTAATGAGATTAAAAGAGTGATAAACCCTACACAGCATAAAAGGAAATACATAAAAAGGTTATTAAGCTTATAATCTTTGACCTTATCAAGAATTCTTTTTAATTAATGCAAATTTTAAATATATAATAACAAGGTATTTCTTCCTTTTTTCAGGTAAGTCCGTTCCCACATCCGAATTCAATTTTGGCTGCCCGTTAGTAAGTTTTAAACTTCTTATCCTATTAACTAAAAGTTGCAAACCTCTGACTGCTATTAAACTCTAAAATGCCGAACTTCGATCAATCGGAAAAAGTTTTCAATTTCAATTTGTGTTTTTCACTTGAAGCACTGAATACCATGGGCATCAACTAGCTAACCAACACCTCCACTTCCACGATTGCCTGGTACCTGGATACTCGCTCCACTGATAGAAGCCACATTCGACACTTTATCACCTGGTTGGACATTGGCATTGAATGGCTCGTGTTTTTCCACACGGCCATAACATTTAATGGCGCT